GTAATCAGAATCACAAGGGCAAGTAAGGGTGGACTCAGGTGATAAGAGGACAGATCTTGGCAGGGTGCCTAGTTCCAAGATGTGGCAGCAGCTTCAGAGACCAGAACAAAGGAGATCTGCTTTGCTCTTCGAGAAGCAAAGATGTTGGTGTCCCTAATTAAACCACACCTATGGCTGGGCTACTTAGACTAACCTCCAGAGACTGCCCTCCGTTGGAAACATCTCTCTGATATTGGGCTTCTGTTCCTACGTCCTTGCTTCCTACTCTGCTCCTTGACTCTCAGTTGTGCAACGCAGACCAGCATATGGAACTCTCTGTCAATTGACTCCTGGAGTGTCGTCAGTCACACTTGCCTCTCTGCCACTGCCTTGCCCTGCCTTGCCCTGTTTTGAACCTATGCTGCATTGGCCTTCTAGCACCACCACTTGTCTCTCTTAGCTATGACTCTGGACTGGGCTGCGGGGTAGCTGCACCTGGGTAGCAGGCATGATGTCACTTCTTTGAGCAGATCCACACATGCTTTGGAAACACACAGACAGCTTTCTACCTGGCTTTGGGTTTTCCTGACACAAGTGTACCAACTGCAACTCACTCCACTGTGTTTTATCAGCCTGTAACAAGACAGGAAATATCTTTCCTGCTACAGAACCAAATACTTGCACACCTCTGCTGGTAAACAACTTTGGTATTGTTGCCAGAGAAATGATATGGATATGTCTGTGTAGTCACCTGGCACTTCACCTTTACTTTGCATCTCAGAAAAATCACTTGTTAGCAATCCATCTTGTCTATTTCTTTGTCATGTTTCAGTATCGATCCCTGTCTTGGACATTAGGCAGATTAATAAAACTGCCCCAAGCTTAAAGCTGTTTCCTTAAATGTGTTCTTCTTTGAATTTGTTGGAATTACAGTTCCCATCTCTCCAGTCTTCATGATAATTGATGGGCTAGTTTGGGAAGAAGAGGGTACTTGTCTAATGCACTTGAAGGATGCTTAGATTAGGGGAGGCTAGTCTAAATGCCCATGAGACATTTGGTGAAGCAAGCACTTGCATGGGAGATTGCCTGAGAGTTTAGTTTATAGCCTTCAGTGTTTATCATCTTGAATTCCATAGAGGAAATGTGGAATATAAATATTACCAGAACAGTGAGTCATTCTAAGAAGCAGGTAAATAAGTGCAAAATTGTGTTAAAAGGTCTAGGTAAATAAATAGTTTTTATGTAGTGCTCAGAATTCATAAGTGAATCTTGAAAAAAAACAAATACTCCTATTGGGAATACGTTGGTTCTTTGCTATGTAGGGAATTATAGATCAATAGATGCGCTTTGTGTCTCTGACAGAAACCAGGCCTGGAAACAACCCAGGAGACAAGACTTTCTGAGCTCAGACTAGTAAATTTTATTAGTGTAATGATAAATAATAGAATTCCTGTGAGTATTTTCCTTTCCAAATGGGAAACATATACAGGCAAATTAAGGCACTTCAATTCTCTTTCTTATGATCTTTCAATGCAAAGGGGAGGAGACTTGTCTCCTTTGTGAAGGCAGCCCAGCTTTCACCTGTAGATTGCTTAGAAACAGCGACTCTTCTTACAACTGTGAGAATCAATATCTCACCATTTGACTCAGGAATGCATTGGAAGTTCATCTTTTGCTTTATTTTTTTAACTGTTTGTATTAGGAGTGTGCAGCTATTTGGATCCAAAGCAGAAAAGGTGCTTTGAAGAGGGTGAGGGTGCACTCACTGCACATATCTTCTTAAAGAATCATATTTTTTTTTCTGGGCTCCCATGATAGCCATCCAGTCCCAGGAAAATGCACAGTTGAGTTAAGGATGCACTGACAGGGTGAAACAAAGTCCTTGTGCCTTGCCACTATCTCCTTCATTCATACGTTCCTCTCCTGCGGACTCAGGAAAAGCAGTAGCAGCAGCCTTAGGTACAGCAAGTGTTTCCTCACTTCCACCAATGCACCTTTTCTGCTTTAGATCTGAACAGCTGCCATTCCAAATTTGCTCCTGCTGTTGTGTTTTGAAGTAGTTAATTATTAGTTATTAGCCCTTAAAAGAACATGGATGAGTCTCAGCCAGCAGTCTTGAAGAGGAGGCCAGGTAGCTAGGAGGAAGCGAACAAGGCCACAAATAGAATCACAGAAGTTTTATGAGGGAGTTGTGGAGTTGATCCACTGACTTTGGGGAAAGACTGTGTGATTTTTCTGACTGAAGATGTTTGCTGAGCATGTGGTGTGAGCAGGAGGGGCTTACAACTGCAGCTGATTAATTGATCAACTAGTGCATGAAGCCACATTCCCAAGCTAGCAGTGCAGCTCAAACTGCATTCTTTTGAAAGAGGCCAGGCAGCTGGGAGTTTATAATCAGAAGGAATAGGAGAGCAAAGAGGAGTAGGGTGAGGGTTTAGCAGAGGGAGGATCAAACCATCCTCAAACCCTGCTAGAATGATGAACCCCAAGGCAGCAGTGGTGATGACTTACTAGACATATACTTGGCACTGTATGTCTTCTCACTTGAAGTTACGCTCTTTACAGATTTTGCAAGTGAAATCCTTTGTTCCCAGGATGTTGTCCAGGAGTGTAGGAGGACCTTAAGAAGGATAAAGGTATCCCCATAAGAGTAGCAAATACTTGGAGGAACTTGGCAAGAGAGAACAAACCACAAGGAGATCTGTGCCATTGGAACTGACCGACAGATAGATTCCGGACATGAGGGCAAGTTGCAGCCATGTGAGAGAGTTCTGTCATCCCTTTTCAGAATAATGAAAGTGGCTTTCAATTCCATAGTGATGAACAAAATCAAGGTTCTCCATTGAAGAGGAAAAGAAAAGTGGTTGTGGCGAGAAGCTCACTATTGTGAAGGACAGAAGTAGCTCTCTTTGAAATAGGCAAGCTGCCAATAGAGTGCTGTCTCTCTGGTATCCATATCCAGGACATGGTGGAAAGATTACTAAGGCTCATCAGAGCAATTGGTCATTAACCATTCCAGACAAATAACTGCTCTAGAAGAGGAGGAACACTTCAAAGGCTTATAGTGAATATAAAGCCACAAGTAGAAAGGTAAAGGAGTTGGGTTGGAAGTAGTGTTTTCATCTATCTCCCGACTGATGGTCAAGTGATGAATAAGGAAAACAAGATCTTAGAAGTGGAGATGTCTAAGAAGATGATGTTATCAAGAAAGATTTAGATTCCTAAACTTTGGTCTTTATCATGAGTATAACTGATCCATAAGCAGAGATAGGCTGCACTTCAGAAGGGCAGGGAAAAGTGTATTTGAAAAGAGTCTTGTGAATCTTATCAGGTCTTTAAAGAGAAGGAGAAGGAGCAGCAGACTCAGGTAGAGGAGTGTTGGGTATTAGAAACATGGTTGTGCATGGTGATGGCAGAAGGCAAGAAAGAAGACTCAGAAATTCTCCATACAAGGCAGTAACAGTACCAGTAAACATTGACATTCCCAGATTCCATTGTCTG